GGGGGGGGGGGGAGAGGTGTAGCGAGGCGGAATGGGTAAGGTTGTACAGCTGTGCAACTTGCACGGAGGCTTGTTTATGTGGGGCGATTGCGGCAAGGGTACACGCCGTCGTCGGTGCACATGTCTATGTCGGGCGGTACGGTCGTACCATGTGTATGTACTGCGTTGTATCTACTGTGAGGTATGATTGGTGTTTATTATGTGTTTGTTCCCTTTTGCTCTTTTTGCAAATGTGTGTCTGGCGCAGTACAGCAGAAAGCGCGGCGTTGTGAAATGGAGTTGGGTTTCTGTAGCATGCACACCAATGCGCATGACATGGGCATCACGGCAAGGCGAGCTCGATCGGAAGGGAGAGAGGGGAGAAAGGGAAAGGGCGTGCGTGTGAGGTTGAAGCAGGAGTGCGACCGCGTAATGGCGTGTTTAGATAGACAACAAGAGTTACGATTGACACAGGCAAAGCGAAACGCCCTTTGAGCGGGGGCGGAGTTATGGGTTGGGGGGTCCGGGCAGAGATACGACTGTTTGTTGCGTTTTGGGTGTATTTGTCGACGGGTCGTTGTTTCTAGACGACCTACCCCCTACTCTCGCACACGGAATGGGTGTGACGGGTCGAAGCTGGAAGGTACCGAGCTCGCTCGCTAATGTCTGTTCTCCTGCCGCTTCGAGCTGATCATAATCACTGGTACAGTACCGTCGTGACTTGTGAAGAGGGCCTTGTGAGGAGGGCCTAGGCCAAGTCGCCCTGTTTGTGCGTTGTGTCTTTTGTCTTGCTTTTTTTGTTGGGGTGGGGGGGGGTTCGGCTAGCGAACGGTCGGGGTGGGGCTGCTCTTCTTGTGTACTGTGCAAGGATCTGTCTGTCCTATGCGAGGAGTATAATAATTGATGTTGCATGGGGCTGCGAGTGCTTGTGAAAAAACTGAAGAGGAAACCGAGTAGGTGTGTCCCCAGTCAGCGAGCAAGGTATGACAAGTGACGAGTCCAGCTTCCGCAAGGTACACGTGCCTACTCTGCTGTGTTTGGTGCCTTGATCTCGCTTTCGATGTTGCTTTTGTTTTTGTACACCTGGCTGTCTGCCCATCTGCCGCCTCTTTGTCCTGTTTGCTCCGTTACTCCCATGCCCTGGTGAGTAATGCCTGGTGCTGGTTGTTGTTGTTGTCTTCACATTAAAAACCGTTCCGATCTCTCCCTACCCAGTACCTTCGTATGTCCGTACTGATCCAACACTCGACGCGGTCGATTCCCGTGGTCGCAGGCCAACTTTCCCTAAAAAGGTACGCTCAAATACACTGGCCCCGAGGGGTCCGCAAGTCAATAGAAATCAAGGACAGCTATTCTGGAGTCCTCCACTCCCTCTGCGCGCTATGCGAGGTAACAACTGAGACCAGGAGTCACCATCACGGGCCGTAGAGAATGAGGTATACCCCCTTGGTTCAATCTTGGTACTTCACAACGCAAGCAGAAACAAGGCAATCTGGCACAGAAAAAGAGACAACAAAAATAAAACAGGGAACAAGAGAAGAAAATAGTCTTGAGGCCGTTTCTTACGGTTTGAAAAATTCCAGTTGAACCATTGAAATGTTCAATTCCCAGCCGAACAGAGCTTCTTACGGTTTGGAATATCGATTTTTGTAAGAAATAAATACTCAACTCGGGCCAAAAAAAAATTGGAAACGCTCTGCACAGTTGAAAATTTCAGAAATTTTCAAGTCGCGACCGAGTTGAAAAAGCTAGTTGGAAATCCAAACCAAGGGGGGGGAGGGTGCATCACACAGACCCCCCACCACACCTGCTTTGGTCGCTGGAAGCACCCGACAGTGCACAACAGCGCACCACAAAGCAGCACAGCACAGCACAGCACAGCACACCGCGTGACAGCCTAGCACAGCGCCTCACACGCGCAGACCCGGTGCTTTGCTGTCAGCGCGGTGCGCCCGATATTGGGACCGGCGACGATCTGTTGGAAGCAACAGTGCTGTCAGTGGCGTTGGCGGCTTTGCACCAGATCCAACAGGAGGATGGTCGTCGGCGCACAGCACGCTCGGTATCCTATTGGGATGCTGTGCCGTTCGCGCGCGTGATCACGGAGCAAGCGTACCAGATGGCCGCGTTCTGAAGGATGTTCACGTTTTTGGCTGTCGCCTTGTCGCAACCGAGTATCGACCGCAGCAGCGCATCGGAGTAGTTGTTCGCGCCTTGAAGCAGCAATGGTTCCACTAATGGCATGATGTTGCGTGGTTTGACTAGCGGCATGACGTTNGGCGCACAGCACGCTCGGTATCCTATTGGGATGCTGTGCCGTTCGCGCGCGTGATCACGGAGCAAGCGTACCAGATGGCCGCGTTCTGAAGGATGTTCACGTTTTTGGCTGTCGCCTTGTCGCAACCGAGTATCGACCGCAGCAGCGCATCGGAGTA